CAACACACTGCCTGCTGACCAGACTCTGAGGAAAAGTCCTTCTGACTTTGCTGATGCCTTTGGAGACTGTGATTCTTCTCCTGAGGTAAGACTGGGTGAAAAATTCCGCTCAAATCATTTCAATTTCCATCTTGACAATTCATCAAAACTACCACAGAAATATGTCCATGCCTGACTTGCCTTTGAAATGGCAAATTAACAATGTACAGCATGTGTCCTATGGAGATTCTTTTTATAGATTCTATACTTTTTAATTAACTCAACATTTACTCTAAAGTACTAATTTTGTCACTATACACTCATCCTGAACACCTTGGAGCATACTGCTCTTCTGAGTAATGCTTGTGGTCTTTTCCATTCAGAGAAGAGTTGTACAATCCTGTATTCTGGTATTCTCATTTTTGTGATCGTTCAAGAGACTGTTTAATCATCTTCCTCCGAAGCTGTATCACTTGACCACCAAGCATCAGTGTGTCTCTGTCCTTGGTGCTGAACCTAACTTTTGCACTTGAGATGTATTTTCAGAAACATCCCATTTCAGATTCACTCACTTTTTCCAACAATTCTCTAAATATAAGTCCAGCAGATTCTCTTGATGCTTTTGAAAATTTTGAAGAGTTGAATCACATTGGCACCAACTTTACAACAGGTTCCAGATGCAGTTACTTTATGACAAACTCTATGCTGATCAGACTGATGAGATGTCCTTGTAACTTCCCTGATGCATTTAGAGAAGGCCATAGTTCTTATAGGGACATATTTAATATCACTAAAGTCATTCAGTGTTGTGCAAAAGGTATTCTTTGGGCTTTGCTTTGATGATTTTTCCTTGTATCATTTTTACTGCACTGGCAGTTTTGTATGTCTGCAGGTGATTTAGAAATAACGTGGACACATTGAGTTTAGATTTCTTTTTTTATTCAGTCTCACATGAAAAACTTATCATGATACGTTTTTTGATTCTTTGTGCTTGGAGCTGGTTTATGTTGCATTTGTGTGTGTTTAAAGATACATTACCCATGGTCATGAAGTTTTCATTTTCCACTTTGCTGATTATCTTGAACATCTAAGTGATTCTGCTTTTTCGACATTAGTACTTATTTACTTTCAGGATTTTTCATGAATACATACTCTATTGCATCAACAGTCATTCAATTTGTACTATTTGAGCAGTATGATTAATTTGAATCTGAAGCCTTTGAGTTTGTCCTGGTTTGTTAATTGTCTCTCTTTCCTAAGTTGGTCTTTGTGTAGATGTTTAAACAAACGTTTGTGAAAAATTCAGTGCATTGTCATTAATAACTGGACATTCATAGATGAAAAAAATCAGATTTCTCCTGTGACTTGCCGTAACTGTTGATGAGTATGATTATGTCAAATCAATCTGTGTTTGATTGGAGTGCGTTGATTTTATCTGAAAATTGTTTAAGGTGTATTTTACGCAACATTTCAGATTACATCTACAACAATTAACAGATCTTCCTGGTGGTTCAGCCTCAAAGGTTAATGTGCAGTACTACATTTCACAAAGAGTTGAATATTTTCTCACAGGAATTCTGCAAGTTTAAGATGAAATGAATAACGATTCCTCTCACCATCAGAAAAATTAAGGATACTTCATTTTTTTAATTAATAGTTTTTAAATTTGGAGTGTCCCTGAAGAACGTTTACAGCAACTTAATATTTATTTAGCTTTTTGTTTGTTAAACATGCACCAATTAGAACAGTAATTTTGTTTTGATCAAAAAACAGTCACAGAAGAGTTTAATATATTTAAAATACACAGATATGTTGTACCTGACATATGCTCATGGTGTCAGTGTGCACYAGTGAACAAGTTATTCTCCACCCTTCAGTGTCRTCGAATTTAAAGACTCAYTCTGCTTTTGTGCCGCASTTCACAAATACCTCTGCGTGTATGACTGGATTTTGGTTTATAACGAGGAATCACAGATGCGTCGTTGATATATTTWWACCTACTTGGGAATTWTTTWRAGGAATATTCGMTTTTCCTCSCAAYAACAATGGCATGCTGTAGATTTTCGCTGCACGGYCTGGCTTTCATTTTTCTTGCCGTCCTCCCCGTCAATGGAGACGTGAGCTACTCTGTTCCGGAAGAGATGAAACGTGGATCTGTAATCGGAAATATTGCAAAGGATCTGGGGCTTGATTTGGGCAGACTGTCCGCTCGCAAAGCCCGGATTGATACCGAGGATAACGGTGTAAAGTACTGCAGTGTAAATCTAAATACCGGAGACTTGGTCGTACAGGAAAGGATCGACAGAGAAGGGCTTTGTGCGAAAAAGGCATCGTGTGTTCTGAAACAGGAACTTGTGCTGGAAAATCCATTAGAGCTGCATCGTATTAGTATCCGTGTCCAGGATATTAACGACAATTCACCGCAGTTTAAGGAGGATTCACTGAAGTTTGAAATTAGGGAGTCGGCTGATAAAGGCTCTCGTTTTTTGCTGGATGAGGCGCACGATGGAGACATCGGAGAAAATGCTGTTCAGGGGTACTCTCTTCAGCAGAATGATCATTTTAAATTAAACGTAAACTCAAAGGGCAGCGGGAGAAAATATGGCGAGTTAGTCCTGGACAAAGAATTAGACAGAGAGGACAACAAAGAGATTGTTCTGTTGCTTACTGCATTTGATGGTGGCTCTCCTCGGAGATCAGGTACCGTAGTTATACACGTCACTGTGCTGGATGCTAATGATAACGCCCCAGTGTTTAGTCAGGCCGTTTATAAAGCCAGTCTGCCTGAAAACTCTCCTCTGGATACTCTGGTGATAACTGTGAGTGCAACTGATGCAGACGAAGGAGTGAACGGAGAAGTAATTTACAGCTTCGATCATGTTTCAGATGAAAACCAAGTTTTCTTACTGAACTCTAAAACTGGAGAAGTTACAGTGGCTGGAGCGATTGATTTTGAAAAAGAGTCGTCATATGAAATGCAGATCAGCGCCAAAGATGGTTTGGGATTGGCGTCATATGCAACGTTAATTATTGAAGTTACAGATATAAATGACAACGCCCCAGTTATATCCCTGAAATCACTGACCAATCCCATACCCGAGAACGTGTCACCTGGTTCAGAGGTGGGCATCATTAACGTGCAGGACAGAGACTCTGAGAA